CGCGGGTACCCAAGCACCGAGCCTGTTGCTATGGCAATGGGAGCTGAAGATGCAGAAAGCGGCACATCCTTGGGAGGGGGCAGGGACGGGCAGCACCCGGCAGCACCCGACCCACCTGCAGGTGCACAGCCCCATCCATCCCTGCTGGGCAGGACCTGGGAGGGAGGCGTGCTGCCTGCAGCACCCAGGACGTGCACTGAAGCGCTCCCTGGGGTGATTGACCCAAACCTGGGTGGGACGTGAGTGCAGTGAGCCAGGGAATGGGGGATGCTCCTTCCTGCCTCCATCCTCTGGGGCTGACCTGCCTCTGTGCCTGCTGGAGCGATGCCACAGGATGGATGCTCCCAGCTTGTAAGGCACCCGGGCACCGTCCTGCCAGGAGAGCCCACACCCAGTAAGAGCACCTGCCCCAGTCCTGCTCAGTGTGCACCAAGTCACAAAAGAGAAGAAGAGCACCCATGGGACATCGCTGCTGGTGCCCCAGAGTGGATGAGATTTTCCAGCCTACACCTGACTCATCCCAGCAGCTCTCTCAGCAAACATGCCCTGCCTGGCACCTCTGTGTCCCCATGCCACACGACACCAGCTCTGCCGTGCCCCTGTGCCCGGCCAAGGGGAATGAGGGCTGTCCTGGCAGCTGCTGGAGGGGTGGTGGGCTCGGTGCCACAGATCATCAGGGGCAGGGCTGGCTGGTGGATGGGCAGGTTGCCAGCACTGGGGCACAGTGCCAGGATTAGCTGGGAAGGGGACCAGGGTGGGATGATATATCGGGATTTTATTGCTGTCTATGGGAGCACTCAGCTAATCTGTGCTCATTAAATTAGTTCCCTTTGGTTTAGTGGCCACCCATCCTGCCAGGGCTGAGCATTGCCATCCTCCCCTGCCTCAGGCTGGCTTCGAGGGGCTCAGTTCACCTGGGATACTGCACAAGGGAGGCTGGTACCCAGCCCAACATCGGGGTCAGCACCTGCACCCCACAGGTGAGAGCACCCCCCCAGAGCAGGGGCACCCAGGCAAGAGGTGGACAAAGGGAAGAGTGCTCCCTCTCCCTCCCCAGGGTGCCGGGGGGAAGGCTCCGTGCTGCGCTGGCACCCGCACGCAGCCAGCACCCCCCTCCAAGAGTCTAATTTGGGAGCAGAAGCAACAGCGGGTGTAAGACAATAGCGGGGAAGTGGGTGGCCGGGTGGGGATGGCACGGAGGGATGACGCAGCNCGCGCCAGGCGCGTGTGGTACGCGGCTGATCCCGGCCGCTCCGGCTGCACCATCAGGAAATACACGTGGTCCCCGTCGGCAAAGGAGTGCACGTAGTGGATGGTGTAGTTGTCACGATATTGTGGCAGCACTGTCAGCCACTGGAAGTCATTTGAAAAGCCATCCAAGGTGCCCTTCAGGCGTCGGATGGACACCGACTGTGGGCTGTACCGTGCTGCCACACTGCTGTCAATGGTGGAGCCGAGGTAGAAGATAGAGGCGTAGGAGGTGGCCACCACAGTGGCACTGGTCCCCAGTGGGCTGACCACACAGTCAGGGCAGAAGGCAGGGCTGTTGCCTGTGGCCGAGTACAGGCAGTGTGTGGCTGTGATGGCCACCTTACCGTCCCGCACCTCCAGCTGGTGCTGATAGCACAGCCCATGCTGTGCCGTGCCACAGCTGTACAGCCATGGCTCCAGCGGGTCCAGCAGCAGCAGGACATTGTCCGTGTCCTCAGGGCCATCTGTGGTGGCTGGGCACAGGCGACAGATCTCACACTTGGCACTGCCCACTGGGCCGGTGACAAGGACGGAGAGCAGGCGCAGCTCGGGGCTGACCAAAAGGATGCGGTTGCGGACGGCCACAAAGACAGCGACTGGGCCGTCAGAGTCAGTGAAGACAGCAACATTCTGGATAGGGCTGCCAGCATCGAGGCTGGGCAGTGTGTAGGGGATGGAGAAGTTCCTGGTGGAGCTGTAAGGGATGCGGGGACACTGCCAGGCACCGGCACCCAGCAGGGCCAGGGCAAGCAGCAGCCAGAGGCACACACAGCACGACAGGCCCATGCTGTGCAGTGCCACTGGTGTAGGGTTATCGACCGTGCTCAGCACCCAGCAGGCTCAGAACGGATGGAGGATGGGCCACCATTGCATCTGCCAAAATAAAAAAAGGAAGGGTTTTACCCGCTTATTTTAGGTGAGGACCTGGGCACAGCCACAGCCGGGTGTCAGTTGGGGCTGCCAGGGTTCCCAGGGGCCAGATGACGATGGGTAGTGCTGAGGGAGGATCAGTCACACCAAACTTCTTCCGAAATACCATGAGTAGGAGGTGATGCCAAGCTGCCTGTGGCAGAGGGACAAATCCTGCCTTCTGCCACCTACAGACGCTGCCTGTCACCCCGGGGCATCTCTGCCCTACAATGACCCATTCCGGGGACTGGGATAGGGACCCTCCCAGCCCCCGGGACAGCAACGAGGACCGGGGATCCCTGCGNATCACAGGTATCTGCCCCCTGAGGGTGCTAAAAAGTGCCATGAGGACACAGGTAGACACACGTTCCTGCCTCTGTGCCATCATCCAGTGGGAACCAGGACACGTCTCCTCCAGCAGCAGGGCTGAAGGCTCTACTCACTTCCCTGTGACAGGGTTTGTCCTTGTCCCACAGCCTGGGGGAAGGAGGGACAAGAAATCAGCCACCCTGATTCTCTTACCTCTGCCCACAGCCCAGGTGTGGGACCAGCCCGGTGTGGGCACAGTCCCCAGGGCACTACAGGGCACCAGTCCCTTCCCCAGCCCCCTCACCCCCCACTCCTCACAGTGCAGCCACGTGTGCAGAGCCCCCCCAAGGGCTGCGTGCCACACGCTGGCATTTGCCGTCCATATGGTGCTGCTTCCAAAGTGCACCCCCACTTCCCTCCTCCCCCTGCCCCCACCAAACCCCTGCCCCCCAAACCTCCTGAGGGCCTCAGCCACCACAGGGTGTGGCCATGCACTCACGGGACCCACAGCCCTCTCCCACCCATGGATAGGGGACACCAGGGTCCTAAAGCAGCCTGTCCCCTCTGCTCACTGCAGACCATCCAGCACTGCAAGGGAGCCAGCTGGGCACTCCCAGTGCCCGTCCCCTGCGTGGCACCGAGCCCTGCCAGCCCCAGGCCTATCACCACCCGTGCTGGGTGATTAAGGGTGTGTGAGAGCAGGGGGAATTTGCAGGGCACTGTAGTTTGAGCTTCTAATCAAGAGTTTAATCATTGTGGCTGGCAGCAGAGCTCCAGGGTTATTAATCTCTGCACCTCGCGGGGACCCGAGCGTAAGCCATCATTACCCGGCAGGCACCCTGTGCCCCGGGGCTGCCCGGCGCTGCCTGGCAGTGTGAGGGATGTGGTGGCACTTCCCCATTGTCCCCTGACTGGCGCCTGTTACCTCCTGGAGCAGTCTCCTGCCACAGGGGTCCCCTCACTGTGCTCTGGTCCCCTCCTGCTCCTGACTCTGTGCAGATCTTGGCCCACCCCGTGCCCCGTTTTGGGGTGATGAGCTTTGCTGACTCCAATGTTTGTCCTTACAGTGCCACGTCCCACTGCCCCACGCACCCACCCCTTCCCACTACACCCCAGAGCTGAGTGTGGGATGCCATGGCTGGTTTGGGGTGATTGTTTTTCCTACAGCACCTCTGGAGAGACTGAGCCTGGGATGCCCAGTGTGGGGCTGCCAGGGCTGGGGGCGCCTGGCTGTACACCCCTGCCTCAGATGGGGGACATGGGGTGGGGGACACCCGGACAGACCCCCTGCTTCGGCTGGGGGACATCTGGCTGTATCCCCGTGCCTCGGGAGGGTGCAGGGGATGGAGGGGGGCCCACACGGTGCTGGGGGGTGCAGGGGGGGTGCTCAGCACGTTTGTTCTGGGGTGCAGGGGGATGCACGTTCAGCGTGTCTGTGCTGGGATGCAGTGGGGTGCAGTGGGGTGCAGCGGGGGGTGCTCAGCGTGGCCGTGACTCAAGCACCACGCGGCAGCGCATCCCTGCGTGCTTGCCA